TTACTTGGTATTTAAATCTCCATTGTATTGTTACTTGGTGTGTGTGTGTGTGTGTGTGTGTGTGTATATACACACATACATATATATATATACTGTGTGTGTGTTTATACATGGTAATAGAAGGAAAAAATAGATGAACAAAATGAGTTTAATAAAATTAAAATACTAAAAAGTAAAAAAAGAAAAAAAAGGCAAAGAAAAAAGAATATGTATGTATGTATATGTATATATATTGAAAAAGCTATTAACTTTCTGACTCCCCCTTTTTATACATCTGCTAATTTACAATATTTATAAGCATTCTGGCCACATGAAAAGCCATACTGTAGGTGATTATATCTGCCATGCTGCATGATGTATTGTATGTGTGGGAACCATTCTCGCTTAAATTTAGTTAAATTTCTATTGGGTATATATTCTGTTAGTTTTGCCATTGCTGAGTATTCTCCAAGTTCAAGTTCCCAGTCAGGTAATCTTGTGTTTTTCTTCCAATACTGAGCAAAATTTATTCCCGCTGCTATAAGCATATATCTCATTACAGTATATTATGATGTTTCTTGTTGCTTTTTTCTGAGATTATTCCTAGTAAGGAAAGTCGTGGTTTCATTTCGAATTTAAATTACAAAGTTTTCTGTGCTGTACTGTGTATGTCTTTTCAGTATTTGGGGGGGGGGGGTTACACATCTACCACATGTGACAAAACATTCCTTCTGTTTCATGGCATTTCCAACATGTATGATTTATCTATCTTAGGTATTATTGATGGGGTTATATATCTGTAAAATGTACCAATTTTACTTTAGGTTATAACTTGCTGTAAATCTTATAGATTTAGTCCATAATTCTTCACACTGTTGTAACTGTTTCTTTTGTATTTCGTGGCAATGAATAATATAAAATGATGCATGAAGAAGCCACGACAGCTGAATCAAACTCCACACTGAAAAGTAACTTATCTCAGAATGCCAGAATCTGAGCAAGGAAAAAGCAATTGCTTTCCTTTGTCACATTTCCTTGGGCAGAAATTCTTTTAGCTCTCTTCAAACCAAGACTTCTTCTGCCTTATCAATTAATAATATTTATTCGGTGAATGACCAGCAATTTAAAAAAAATATCTTAAAATCTGCTTTAATCTTCCTACTTGATGTTCCTGCTTTAACAACCTACTATTGTAGACCAAGAATCCAGGCTAGATCTACAAACAAAATTGCATCACATTGATCAATATACTTTTTTGCTGTCCTGATGCTTCAACACCTATATGATCTTCAATATTTCCTGTTGGTTACTGTGAGCTTCCATGTGCATGAATGTGAACCAGCAGAGGATGTATTCTTTAGGTGAACAAGAAGAGCAAAATCTATAATGCTCTGCCTGACCTCACTGTTATTTGCTGATTTAAGCTATTCTGTGCCTCCCATTCAACCTGGATACTTTGAGAAAATTACTTAAAGCCCTTCCCAGCTTAGATGTATTGAGACTAGATTCCTGAATTTCCAATCACAAGAGGCAATGGCTTTTCTGTAATTAGCTACAGGGGTTTCACAGAAAACTTCTTATAATGCTACATTATTGGTAATGCTGTTATTCATGCCGAGATCTTTCAGCAACAATTACTCATGAATATATTCAGTCAAGTTCCTTTCCAATTTTACTGTAAAGTTTCCTGTTAAGTTTAAAATTGGTAATGTGGCTTTGTCAGCAGTCGGACCAAATTCTATATTTTTGGACACTGCACTGTTCTCCAGATTCTGGAAACACAGCAGTAAGGCTCCCCAAGGACACGGCTCATGTGTTTTGATGGTATAATCTAGTCAGTGAACTGCAGGTTAAGGAACATGTTTCTTTTCCTTCTTGCAAAATTTCTGAAAATGCAGAAGAAAGAAGATGCTTGTATTTTTAGAATACATTGCAGGAATAACAATAAGATTTAGACAAAATACATGGAAGCTATGCATATCTCCCAACTCACTATCCTTCCTCACAACTAGAGCTGGGGACCATTGATGGATTTTAGTTGGCCATTCCTTTTCTACTGCTAGCTTCCACAGGTCCTTGGGCCACAAGTAGACTGCTGTGAATGGGTAGAGGGTTACTCTCATATTTCCATCTAGATTTTTTTTATTTTATTCTGTCATCTCATTTTTTTTTCTCTTGCAGGCCTAATGTGACAATTGCATGGAGAAGAGTAACCAGTCATCATCAGGGACGAGCATGGAATTTCTGCTGCTTGGATTCTCTGACCTGCTCCACTTGCGGGCCCTCTTTTTCTTCATCCTCCTTGGGCTGCACCTGGCTACGCTTGCAGGAAACCTGCTGATCCTCCTAGCTGTGTCAGTTGAGCCCAGCCGCCCACCGATGCTCTTCTTCCTCTGCCAGCTCTCTGCCATTGAACTCTGTTACACCCTCATCATTGCTCCCAAAGCGCTGGCTGACCTGTTGAGCAATGGGAAAAGCACCATTTCTTTTGTGGGCTGTGCTACCCAAATGCATTTCTTTGTAGCTCTGGGGGGAGCTGAATGTTTCCTCCTTGCAGCCATGTCTTACGACCGCTATGTAGCCATCTGTCGGCCCCTTCGCTACATGGCCGTGATGAACCAAGCCTTCTGTCTTCAGCTCGTGGTCATCTGTTGCTTTGGGGGCTTTGTGGTCTCTCTGGGGCTGACTGTGGCTGTCTTCCACCTGCCCTTCTGCAGTTCCCATAATATTGATCACTTCTTTTGTGACGTCCCTGCTCTCCTCCACTTGGCCTGCACCAAGAGCTACGCCAGTGAGCTTCCCCTCCTTGCAGCGTGCACAGTCCTCCTTCTCCTCCCTTTCCTTCTCATTCTGACCTCTTATACCTGCATCTTCCTTGCTGTGATGCAGATCCATAATTCCTCTGGCCGAAGTAAGGCTTTCTCCACTTGCACCTCACACCTGGTGGTCACACTCTTGCACTATGGTTGTGCTACTTTCATGTATGTCCGACCCAAGTCTAGCTACTCACCAGGTCGAGATAAGATGGTAGCCCTCGTCTATACCAACATCACCCCCTTGCTTTATCCTCTGATTTATAGTCTCAGGAACAAAGAAATCAAAGGAGCTGTGAGGAAGTTATTGCAAAAAAGACTGGCTCAGCCAAACTGGGGCATCTTTAAAAGCAGACCTGCACATTTCTGAGCAAGTAAGTTGAGTCCAGCCCAGAATTCATGGAAGCAGTATATCTTGTATATTTAAATGGGAAGGAAGCAAGTGAAAAAAGGAGGCACCAACTATGATTCAGCAACGAATCGTCTCTCTTTGCCATTCACTGTTAAATCCTTGGTGGGCTGTATTCATCCTGGTGGGTCACAAATTGTGCAAGGCACAATTGATGTGTAATATATGCCTGTGGATGATAGTGTACACACTTAGTCATGCACACCCACACCTATTAAAGTTTAACACTGTACGTGCCAGGCAGCCATTTTTGGAGAGAGATGTCTACAGACGTGCCCTAGTCACCCCACAGATCGATTACTGCAACACACTCTACATGGGGCTGCCCTTAAAGACCACTTGGAAGCTTCAACCGGTCCAGAATGCAGTGGTGTGGACAATGATGGGCATGCCTCAGTATGCCTACACGATACCTCTGTTTTGTGAGCTGCACTGGTTGCCAGTTTGCTTCTAGGTGCCATTCATGATGCTGGTTATTACTTATAAAGCCCTCTGTGGTACAGGCCCTGGCTACTTGAGGAACTGTCTATTTCCTGTGGTACATGCCTAGCCAGTTTGATCTGATGGGGTTGGTACACTCCAGGTTGCAATGCCATGTGTAGGAACCCTGGAAGCATGCCTTCTTTGTCACTGTCCCTGCCCTCTGGGATGACCTTCCCCCTGAAGTCGGGGTGGCCCCCAACTCTGATGGTGTTCCAGAGGGCCTTAAAGACCTGGCTCTTCTCTGAGGTGTTGGGCTATACAGTCAAAACCCTTTGTTGAGTGTGTGATTTATGTTGTTGTTGTCTGGATTTGCTATCTTCTCTTAAATTTAACATTTTTTTAATGTGATGGTATATTTGTTATCTTATTTTTATATTGTGAGTTGCCCAGAGTCAGTTTGGAGTCAGGTGGCAGCTAAATTGCTCAATTTAAATAAAATAAACCAAAAATATGTCTTCCTGTGTCACACGTCCTCCAGTTTTTTCATACTGGAACTTGGGACAAAGAGGAGCATATATTTTTCCAGCTTGCTTAGATGATTGAAGAAATGAGAAATCAGTCTACTTCATTACCCAGTTAAACAGGGGAGCACTGATGCTGATGTGCTTGACATTTAATATAGGCCTTTACATTGGGATCCATTCTATCAAAAATGACTATCCAACCATTCGCTTGGTGAGGAACCCCATTGTATTTGCATCCTATATCACAATATAAATCCTAGCATTTATTTAAAAACTTGTTCATATTTAAAGTAGACCTATTGTAATCAGTAAATCCCTTTAATCTTGACTATGCTGAGATTGAATCTTTTCATCTTTTGAGGAAGGTAAAATGCACACAACAAAGATCAGTGAGTGAAAATGCTTTAACATGGTCCAGTATGGACAGCAAGTTATAAATATGAAGACACTGGGATTTATGAGCAGCAGTTAGAAGATAGTTTTACCCCAGCAAAAGGATTCTAGCATGCCCAGCGTAAAATCCTGATGGAAAACATTAATACTCTTTTTTGACACTGTGGGAAATCTGATCAATATGATTCTGTGGGGTCAAGGTTTCATTTGTTTTTTAAGACTTGACTACTGTTGCACATTATTTTAATATATATGTCCTCTATTTTGCTTTTCCTCTGCACTTTAGTTATTTTCTGGTTTATTTCATTTTGCTTTCTGTATTATTTACTGTGGTACTTAGTTATTGGGGGTTTTTTTTGCTAATGATTAAAAAGCAATAAAGTATTGTTTACAAAGGATGAGTATATAATGAGAAGTATAATGTATTGGTATGTGCTCCTCACTTCCTTGAATAGTGCTACAATGCAAGGAAAATTCTTACCTAACTTTGTCTTCCTTGGGAGGAACCTACACTGATAATAAAGCATTTGTTTGTGTAATTGATTGATTTGCAAATATACAAGTTGAACACAGTGTGAGTTTGGCAGTATAACATTCTTAGAGTCAGGCATATCATTGCCCCAATCAGAGAGATCTCCGAAGAGACAAAAAGAAACTCTTCTTCACGCACAGTCACATACTCGACTTAAGAGCCACATGTCACCTTGGAAAACCTTGGGTGTGGTGCCCAAGCTTTACTCTGAGTTGTAACCTTTACCTGGGCAAAAAAGCAAGTTTCCCACACATGGGAAATAATCCTATTAATTGGCTTTAATTAGCCACTTTTTATTTTAGTTAAAATAGCCCAAAATCAAATTTAATTGAATTACACAAATCAAATTTTGGTTTTACTTTGACCTTACCTGTGTCTTTCTCCTGGTCGCATTACTTTTTGGAATGCAGCCCCCATCTGAAAATGATGTACATCCCTGTCCCAACTACTCATCCTCTCCCCTCCTCTCTCCTTATTTGGGATGTTAAGAATGCTGGAGAAGACAAAGAGTGAGTTCGCCAAAATGGTTCTTTCTTTCTATTGGCATCTTCCTTACCCACAGACAACAGGACTGGAATTGTAATTAGATACATCTGGAAGTAGCTCCACATTGGTCTCCTGAAGGTTCTAGAACATTGTCCTGTAATTTCCCTGACCACACACGTGATGGGCCATTAGTAATTAGGCTACCTATACTTTATGCATCTGAACGGGTTTCTATTCTGTGAAAAATGTCATAAAACTGTATTAACCTTAAGCTTCTACATATCTTTTTTGGCTTTTACTATAACAGATAGTGGTTTTTCTATCTGGAAACTGGTGCAATATAATGGGCAGTTCAGTTGCAATGAATTTTTTAAAATCAAAAAAATTAAAATACAGGAAATGGCTAATTCCATTTGTACTTTCTAAAAGGGGAAAACCTATACTCTGAGAATGTCTTGAAACATGAATGGAAATATAGGAGGGTGAGAAAAGAGCTACTGTATATAATCTAAATGGGAAAGAGCAAACCTTCCTTGAGTAAACATTCCTTGTGAGTGGCACCTCAAACCTGTATCATTCACCCAAAGAGGTTCTTATCATATGGGTTCCTTCTCACATCGGTCTCATTGATATTTAAATGGCCTACTCATGTGATACAGAAAATGGTGCAAGTGGTACCAACTGGGCCTTAAGGAACAGTTAAAGTTGAAGGGAAAAAAAGTTGCCAAGACAGCTCTGTCCTGGACCATGGATTTATCTGAACCCTATAAAAACAAGACTCTGCCTTCTCTTTCTCCCCATGGTCTAGCTGACTACAGAGAATATGATACTGTGTACTTGCCATGTTCCTGGCTTATGAATAATCATTGAAAGGACAGAGGGAAAATGGGCTGAGGCACCAGGCAGACTTGAATCTGAGGACCTGGCCTACAATCAGAGGAATGGCAAAAGTATGCCCCATTGCTCTCAACTCTGCCCCTGAAGGCTCTGATCTGGAGTCACGACTGCACAGGCCAGGAGAACCCCATTGCCATCACTTCAAAAGTCAGAGAGCAGAGAGTGGGGAAGGGGGAGGTTGCACAGAATGGTACCGTGGCAATATCAAAGCTGAGAGCAGTACCAGTTGTACTCAAATAATGACTGGGTGCTTACGGCACAGAAGGCTTCAGGTGAAGGCCAGTGGGAGCAGCATCAATGGCAGCCCAATCTGATGTGTTTTCATGCCTTGACTCTAAACTGTATCCACCTCCCTGGTAACACCTGGCCTGGATCTGATGCGTCTTTGAGCCTTGCCCACTGAAACATGAGTGCTGCTAAAGAATTTTGCTCAGCTCAAATTCAGGCTGGACTAGAACTAAGACTTAATAGTAGTTTATTATTTTTTATTATTGTAACCACAGGACATAACATAGGAATACCATCAAATACAATAAAATAACAATAAAATAGTGTGGAGTCCCTGGGGTTTTATGAAAGTCAGTGATGCTCGCTGGGTGTTATGGAAATGATAAGACAACATACTGAGATGGGAAGCCGTTCACAGTCCATTACACAAAACCCCACTAGGAACAGGAGAGAAAAAATGCAGCAGATGGACACACGGGGGCCCCCTGGAGTCATTTTGCTTCACCAAGGGCTTTCATATCTGCTGTTATCAGATTTTTGCAAGGAGATGTCTGTCACAAGAATCTTTGGACTGAGGTTGTAGTCTGCAGTACTTGTGATATAATTTTAATTATAAATAATTTATTTATAAATTATAAATAAAGTTTAATTTAAAGATTTTATATTGTTTCATGTATGAGAGAGGGTTTGCGGCAAAAACAACAGAGAATTTTGCAATGCCTTAAGGCAGGGTTCCTCAACCTCAGCAACTTTAAGATGGGTGGACTCCAACTCCCAGAATTCCCCA